GTGCATATACCCAAGCCAGGATCATGGCCAGAATGTATGCGAGGGAATTATGGGACAATAGCAACTAGCAAACCAACTCCATTTCCAACAACCAAACAACCATGTGTACCTTGTGTCATTCCCCCAAACTGCCCTGTTCCACAGCCATGCCCAACACAGTGTCCAGCACCATGCCCTCCAGTGGCTACTACCCTAGCAACAACAGTATCGCCAGTTACAACAGTAACATCAGCACCTCCGCCTACCACAACATCAACATCAGCAGCTCCGCCTATCAGAACATCAACGACAAATTCAACTACTACCCCATCACCTCCACCTCCACCACCAACACCCACCCAGAAACCATGTGTTCCTTGTGTCATTCCTCCAAACTGCCCTGTTCCACAGCCATGTCCGGCAGAGTGCCCAGCACCATGTCCTCGTCCAACAACAACAACCATCCCAACAACAGAAGCACCTCTAACAACAGAGAAACCTCCCCCTTCTACCACAAAACCGCCCCCTCCAGTCACACAACCAAAGCCTCCTTCCACTACAAAGCCGCCACAGACAACAGAAAAGCCAAGTCCAGTTGTATTGACAACAACGCCAACGCCGAAGGTTGTCTTAACGACAACCCCAAAGCCTCCTCTCGTCTTTACAAGTAAGTTAATACAGTGCCATTTTTTGTGGGATTTTGTTCTGACTGTGCAAAATTGAAAAATCTAGGATTTTTTTCAGAAGAATTTAAAAATTGGGAGTGGTTTTGACGGTTGTCATTCCTGCGAGGAAATGATTGAACTACCACAAGTGTCTAAATCATCACATATTAAAATGTAATTTTGCACTTGTCTCCATTAACTTTTGAGTTAATACCAACCTTCTGTTGTTTGTCATTATATCATCATGTCGAGCTGTTTTAAGGCTTTGTCACCTGTCAGAATTTAACCCTGACTGGCTTCAGTTCTTCATTAAGGGTTAAAAAATCATCATTATTGTACCTGCATGTTTTGATTAAACACTGGCTAATAATTTCTTTTGTAATTTTTTAATCATAGCTCCAAAGCCTCCAGGTAAGAAAACTAATACTCCAAATGTTTTCTTAGTATTATTACTTTTGTGTTTTTCCTAATTTGTATGTTCTTGCTGTTTAATTGAGCTTTCAAAATGGATAATATTATTTTGACTGAAATGCACATGTTGTTTCTATGCAAAATTCTAAAATTTTCTTTTTTTCTTGCACTCCACGAAAAGCCCTTAAATAAGTCATGTTTGACATAATTTTGATAAGTATCTTAATACAATTTTGAGATTCCAAAGTAAGAGTTAGTGCACTGCAATGTACATGTATGTTATATGAATTGAACTTCACAAGTCTTGCAATGACATGTTCCAAACTCCAGCTCATACTCAGAACCAAAATTTAATTAGAATTTAATCAAGTGGTGTTTTATATGCAAGAGATGGACAAACTCTGTGGGTAAATGGAGAGATCATTATAACTTCATTTGTTAATGTTTTATTTACTTTTACATATTACACATTCTAGTAAATGGCAACTACACTGCGTGGAGTGCATGGGAGGAATGTTCAGCTACTTGTGGTGGTGGAATACAGCAACGAGTGAGAACATGCACTTATCCATCACCTGCAAATGGAGGAAAGGACTGCACAGCACTGGGACCTGCAGTGGAGACAAAGGATTGTAACTCACAGCCTTGCCCAAGTGAGTATTCAAGGCTGTACATGTGCTCAGAGACAAATTACATGTACATGGAGCCCAATGCTTTGAACCTGGAAATCCAGGGTATCCAGAATATGATAATTATCTTGTGAAAAAACTAAGATTTCCAAGTCGTCCAAGATCAAAAGTGTAAGGTGCAAGGGACCATGAGCATAATAAACAGGCTGGTAAATGTAGCTCAAATAACAAAAAACGTCTACAGTATTACATAATGTTAGTGTTTTAAATTATCAAAGCTTATAGATAAAAGAGGAAGTGACTGTGCATGTTTGTCAGCATGTCATTTATTTGTTTAATAAAATTTATTGCCTGCTTACGGTCATGTTGTGCCATTTCAGTTGATGGTGGGTACAGCAACTGGGGTTCTTATACATCCTGCAGTGCAACTTGTGGGGGAGGGGAACAAGTTAGAACAAGACAGTGTAACAACCCCACCCCACAGTACAAGGGAAAAGACTGTAAATGGATTGGACCAGCAAATGAAACAAGAGCCTGTAATACCTTCTACTGTCCAAGTGAGTTGAGAACTAGTGTTTGTTGCAGTAACTGTCATTGTCGTGACACTGGACTGGAGGCTTATTACTTTTACATGTATCTTGTCAACCAAAGAGAGATCGTGGTTCATAATGGATAATGTTGCCATCACTTTTCTTCTCGTCATCCTAGTGTAGCTTACAAGACCTAATTTTGTTCTGATATGTTTTGCAATGTCCTAAACTTGCCAACCTTACAGACAATGCAGTTACAGTGAATGTGATCGGCATGTCGTAAGCAAACTCTTTTTTCAGCTAAACCAGTATTTCCTCTGTCTCCTACAGTTTGTATGAATAATAATTAGGGCTAGAGGACAAAAGAAATTTTGAATCAAACCAGGTTAAGTACTGGTTTAAAGGGAGAATGGATTTAACCTACAACATATTATATTTAATTATGTAAAGTATGGAAAATGTTACTGTATGCTGTTTTGATTACTTCCTTGTTAAGAACAAGCCTTATGCATAATGATTATTATCTTAAGGCACAATCCTGGGCTTCTCTATTTTCACATTCACCTCTGTCAAACTTTCATCAGAAACTTGTGGCGACGAATCCAGTACTGCTTTCTGTTTAGTCCCTCCTTCCCAGACCATGGCTTCTGTAATCGAAGGGTTTTAAACGAATGTTAGCAACATATTCTTTTGTTATAACATTTTTGCAGTTGATGGAAATTACACTGAATGGTCAGAATTCCAGGCTTGCAGTGTGACTTGCGGCAAAGGGATTCAGGCTCGCTCAAGAAGTTGCACCAATCCACCTCCTCAGCATGGGGGAAAGAATTGCTCGGCTTATGGGCGCCCTGTGGAAACAAAGGAGTGCAACTTAAGAAAATGTCCAAGTATGGATATTAGCAAGTTTTTGCTTTCTGTTAATATGTAGCATCCACTCCCAAAAAATAATATGTTGATTTTTTAAAATTTGGAAGTTTAGTAGCAGCTCCTTTAAGTTTCACTCACTGAAAGGTCTCCCAACCTTGGAGACAAAGATACAGTGTACGTTGTGGATAAAATGGAGAAATAATGTTCGTTTATTATAATTTTACATGTATAAATTATGGCTGAATTAGCGAATGGCGAATCCTGTGTTTTACAAGTAGTTGGCTACCACAGTGGGGTAAGATGGTCCCATATCACCCACTTGGAATTTCCTGCGTTGGTCCTGCAATAAAAAGTTCTCTTTGTGGCCATAATAATAAATCCCTTTTTGACCAAGCTTGTTCAGTCAAAATGGGTAGATAACATAATATAACCAAGGAATATATGATTATGATTTTGCTACTTTGTTTTCTTCAGTTGATGGTGGTTACTCTCCATTTACCAACTGGTCTGACTGCACTGAAACTTGCGGAGGAGGAGAACAAATAAGAACTCGGACATGTACCAACCCTCCTCCTCAACACTTTGGTAAGGATTGCTCCAAGGATGGACCTGATTATGAAAAAAGGAAATGTAACACTCAAGAATGTCCAGGTAAGCTGGAGTTTATATAAGCTCAATAGCACAGAATGATCCCAACACAAAGCTGGACAAAAGAGTTTTTGTTTTTTACTTGAGTGTGTGGAGATCATGTCACCCTGGTATGTGAAAGTTAGTAAACTGTTTACATCTACAAACCATGATCCATACACATCCATGGGAATTGTAGAACTAAAATGAAAAATCCAAGGATCATCCTTTAATGCTACTCAACGTGGTTGTCAATTCAAAAGACATTAAAGTTTTTGTAACGTGAAAATAATTACATTCAAAAAAGCATGTAAGTATAAAACATACTCTACACTGAAATGACATCTGATGATTGCGACAGTGTAATTGCCAACATCAAGTCTGGTACATTTGCATTGCATATGTTACAGGTCAGCAAAATCTTTTTGTTGTGGTGCATTATTCAGTATGACAAAATTTATGGTTTGTTTCTTTTTCTTTCAGTGGATGGTGGTTTTACACCCTACTCCAACTTCTCTGCTTGTAGCAAGACCTGTGGAGGTGGAATCCAGTCTCGCATGCGATCCTGCTCCAACCCTCAACCACGTTATGGTGGGAAGAACTGTACTGGAGACTACAAAGAGGCACGCGAGTGCAATACACAGCCTTGTCCAAGTAAGTTTGTTTTATGAGGCACATAATGAATTGGATCTAATGATTCAAAAATCTGGGAGTAATGAGGTCGAAATATCTTGCCTCCTCATTATGGGTAGGGGTGAGGTCATCTGGAAAAATACACCGACATGACGTGGACTGGACAACAACATAACTGTTTCTGAATTTGTACTCTTTAGTGACTGACTTGCACACATGTCTGGGCCCAGTTGTTCGAACACCAGTTAGCGCTAACCGTGGTTAAATTTTAACTTGGGTTTCTTTATCTTTTTATCAAAAGCACTCTCTTGGATAATTTTCTCTCTTCTTTTTAGGGTAGCCAATCATCAAATCGTAGGCAAAGAGAATGAATTAACTGAATTTGCTTTTTAAGCTCTCATATCTGAGTTCAAATTTTGCACTAACCCTGGGTTTAATCTTAACCCAGCTTCGAACAACCCGGTTCTGGTGTTTATATACATATTATACATTTAATAGCTATTTTTGTGAAATGCAGGACAAAACAAAACCTTACTTTGACCTTTGTGCTAATATGATTATCACTTATTCATTAGGTGTAGGCTGGCCAGCACCAACTCTCTCCTGATGTGACAAGATCTTCCCAAAGCCACGCATACATGAATAGCATGATATTTGTAGAATATTGTTTAGGCCATTTCAATACACATTTAATGAGCAGAGAGGTGGTTTCTAGTTAATAATAGTTTGTTTATGAATACAGGCTGTAGCTAATGACTAGCTGACAACTTGGTATTTGATTATTGGTTTTGATTTCTGTGTCTTAAAGTTGATGGAGGTTATGATGAATGGGGAAACTATTCTGAATGTTCTGCAACTTGTGGTGTTGGAAATCAGGTGCGGATGCGCACTTGCACCAATCCGGTACCACAGCATGGAGGAAAGCCTTGTATGGGCTCACATTCTGAGTCCAGAGAATGCAATACACAGCCCTGCCCAGGTACTACTGTAATACTATACTGATGTTCTACCTTACAGATTTTTTTTAAGTGAAGTAGGGTTATTGAAGTCTTTTTTTGAATACTTACAGTATTACTAAGAAATGAATCGTATAAATTAATGTGTTGCAACAGATTTTTCTAGACACTTCCCTTATCAAATTGAAGAGTATTCACAAAAACAGAGTTCTGGTGTTGCTCTTGTTTATGGGACTTATTTGAACTGTATACTAAGTGTCATAAATCAAACCCAACATTCTTTTAATGGTTAAAGTGGATCATTCTGATTATATGATAATACAAATAGACCAGGAGAAATTATACCAACTCAAACAAATTTGCATTTGTAACTCCCTGATTGCCAGATTGATATTATTTGTAATTTAATTGGTAACATTAGTTTACATCTTAAGTGTTAAATTTTTGGGCCCAAAATTTATACAGTCACAGGTACAGGTACAGGTACAGGTACAGTGTATGGCTGAATTCACTGGATGCAAAAAGGACTTTAAAAGATCAAAACTTTAATCCTAGTCAATCCTGAATTTTTCAGGTTTTTTTGTATGGTTTAAGTTATTTATTTAACAACAAGAAACAGCATAAAAAACGTTTTAGGTTATGACTGGTCTTTTTTCATTTTTAGGTAATGGTGGGTATACACAATGGACAGAGTTTTCTTCATGTAGTGTATCATGTGGTGGTGGAATGCAACAAAGAACAAGAGAATGTACCAATCCTGCACCATCAAATGGCGGCAAAGACTGCAACCTGCTTGGAGCAGCATTTGAGTCAAGAAACTGCAGTTCTAACCCTTGCCCAAGTAAGAGTTTGTCCCTTGGTCAAAGTTTGATCTGATTAGTTAAAATGTTCCACGGGTGTCTTTGCTACTTAGCTTTACTGACCAAAATTGAAGTATGCCTGGCCAAAATTAGTAAGTTAATGACAAGTGGCAAGCATCACGTGGATTCCAGCTTACATTCACAGTTGATGGTTTGGGACTAAAGTAGTTGATTAACTGGTCATATCTAACACTGTAGTAAAAATAGTGTGAAAGTGATCAAAAATCACATAACGGTAATAACAAACTGTTCTTCTTGAAGGCCACAGGGGCAAAATGCACATGCATTGGGTTGAAAAGCATGTTAGGAGTTTTTACTTTAATTCCGATCATCTCAAGTTAACATTATCCTTGATAATGACTTGCTTGTACTTCAATATAGTCAATGGTGGATATACAGAGTGGTCTAAGTGGTCATCTTGTAGTGTTACCTGTGGAGGAGGAACAATAAAGAGGCAAAGAAATTGCACCAATCCTTCACCCCAGTTTGGTGGCAAAGACTGCTCTGGGAGTGGACCAGAACTCCTCACCCAGCAATGCAATCCACAGAAATGCCCAGGTAAGATAATATGTCCCATGCAGTTGTCTCTATTAATAGAGGCTGGTTGGGTGTCTCTTACAGTGTACCGTAAAATTCTGAAAATAAGCCCCTCCATGTATAAGCCCCTCCAAATATAGGCCCCCCAATCTGGTAACGTAAAAAAGCCACCGTTAAATCTCCCCTCCAAATATAACCCTCCTGGGGGCTTGTACTTGGAAAATTGGCATCAAATACAAAGTAAAACAAAGCAAAAATGGTAAATTTACTTCCAACCATAAGGCTAACCCAATCGATTTTGAAACACAAATTTCCTTCAGTAGATAAGCCCCTCCGAATATAAGCCCCTTATTTTTGGAATTTTACGGTAATTTGAAAATCCCCTGCTTTTGGACTGTAAGTGAGGACATTAGAAGGTTGCTGAAATGCCATTTCTACACATGAAGTAGTATGAAAACATGTTCCACTATTGGCTACAAAAGCTCATATTTGCTAGTTGTAGCTTGATTAGGGTTTACAATGGTAGTAAGAGCTATAAACATCATTTGATAGAAAAGCAACATTACTATGAATGTTTTTGATTATTGGTGTATTATTGATTAAATTAATTATTTTTAAGTCTGCTAGGGGGTAGCATCACTTAACAGGTACTCTTCCATTAAAGAATAACATGATGAACAATATAATGCTGTACAATAATAGTTACAGTAACTGTGATTTGTATTCAATCACTATGTTCTTTCCTGTAGTTAATGGTGCTTACTCACCATGGAGTGATTGGACCCCATGCACGGTGACTTGTGGTGGTGGTGAATCAATGAGGACTCGTCAGTGCACGAATCCTAGCCCAGAGTTTGGTGGTAAAGACTGTTCTTCCCTTGGCAAGTCTACAGAGATAATGAAATGCAAGAATGATCCATGCCCTGGTAATAGTTTAAATTTTGTAGCCCCAAATGTAGTTTTACATGTACTTTTACAACAAGTTTACTAGTTACTACTACTCATAACACACTAAGTAATGGGTCAGAAGAAAATTTGTATCGAAACTGAAAAGTATAATTTATTTACTTTACTATTTGTATGTTGATCTGTATACCTTACTCTTGAGGCTGAGATGATTTCCTTGTCTGTTTCATATAATAATAATAATAATAATAATAATAATAATAATAATAATAATTATTATAATTATAATAATGGTTTATTAACAGATCCATTGGGTTGCTCCTCCCTGTTAAATTACATCAATTACAATTACAAAATAAATCAAATTAAGTTATTTACAAATTATACAATATACAATTAAAAATGGAAGCAGGATTAACAGAATCCAATTACAGTAAAACTAACCAATCACTCTGTACTCTGTTACTTAAAAAATTCATATTTTTATTGTTTAGTTAATGGTGGCTATTCGCTGTGGGGAGAGTGGACTAAATGCAGTGTCACCTGTGGTAAAGGACAACGGAACAGGATCAGGGACTGCAGCAACCCAGCACCAAGGTTTGGAGGAGCTGATTGTTCTGCCTTAGGAGAACCTTTTGAGAGCAAAGAATGCTACCTTAAAGTGTGCCCACCGGGAGGTAACGGTAAGTGTACTCATTTGTCTATGCAACTGTTAATTTCATATCTTTGTGAACTGTAAGTGACCATCAACACCTGGCTTTATATAAAGAANAGACTGTTCTTCCCTTGGCAAGTCTACAGAGATAATGAAATGCAAGAATGATCCATGCCCTGGTAATAGTTTAAATTTTGTAGCCCCAAATGTAGTTTTACATGTACTTTTACAACAAGTTTACTAGTTACTACTACTCATAACACACTAAGTAATGGGTCAGAAGAAAATTTGTATCGAAACTGAAAAGTATAATTTATTTACTTTACTATTTGTATGTTGATCTGTATACCTTACTCTTGAGGCTGAGATGATTTCCTTGTCTGTTTCATATAATAATAATAATAATAATAATAATAATAATAATAATAATAATTATTATAATTATAATAATGGTTTATTAACAGATCCATTGGGTTGCTCCTCCCTGTTAAATTACATCAATTACAATTACAAAATAAATCAAATTAAGTTATTTACAAATTATACAATATACAATTAAAAATGGAAGCAGGATTAACAGAATCCAATTACAGTAAAACTAACCAATCACTCTGTACTCTGTTACTTAAAAAATTCATATTTTTATTGTTTAGTTAATGGTGGCTATTCGCTGTGGGGAGAGTGGACTAAATGCAGTGTCACCTGTGGTAAAGGACAACGGAACAGGATCAGGGACTGCAGCAACCCAGCACCAAGGTTTGGAGGAGCTGATTGTTCTGCCTTAGGAGAACCTTTTGAGAGCAAAGAATGCTACCTTAAAGTGTGCCCACCGGGAGGTAACGGTAAGTGTACTCATTTGTCTATGCAACTGTTAATTTCATATCTTTGTGAACTGTAAGTGACCATCAACACCTGGCTTTATATAAAGAAGTTCCAAGTACTGTAAGCCATTTTAATAGCAAAGTAGAGTAACTTTACATGGGGCTCATTACAGCACAGCTGTTAAACAACACCACCATATCTTCCTTTCACACAAACATTCTGGTGGAGAAGGAATAATGATCTCAGTAGTTCACATTTACAAATTTACTGTTTGAAAAACCGAGGCTCATTGATTTGCAAGCCCTGCTCTTTTGTTAATATTTTCTCAAAATTTTTTTAAAAAATTGATTTAGAAACTGGCTGGTCTGAATGTTCCAAGACGTGTGGTGGTGGTGAAAAATTCAAGATGGTCAATAATGCCAAGCAAGTGTCACCATGTAACACACTGCCATGCCCAGGTATTTGTTCTTCCAATTTTGTACGTACATGACTATATATTTCACAATTTATAGAGGTAATTGGGCTGGTGAAGTCCAGTTTGGTCGGTAGACACATAAGTGATTTAATATAATTTGGTGAGTCCAAGTGGCACAATAACATTGTCTTGCTGCAAAGTGTTTGTACCTGTAGATTGTAGGGAGATTAATTACATGTAAACCTTAATTCAGAGGTCCCAGGTTGTTATACCCTCCAGATAGTTTTGCACAGTACCCTTACTAGCAAGGCATTTTGTTGATAACGTTTCTTGCTCTCATTCTTTCCAGTGAATGGTGGTTTCACCCCCTGGAGCAACTGGACCGAGTGCACATCAAGTTGTGGCGGTGGAATCTCGTCAAGATCACGCACTTGCACCAACCCCATACCACTGTATGGTGGGAAGTCATGTGAAGGAAAGCCTGTGGAAATTAAGGAATGTAACTCAGAGCCTTGTCCTAAACCTAAGAGTAAGTGTCGTGGTGTTAAAAGTTTCTCACAAGTTTAACACACTTTAGGAAAATATCCCACCTTAAATAATTTACATCTGTTTGTTGCACTTTCAGACAATCAGTGTTAAACTAAATTTCATCAAGGGGGTGAACCGTGCCCATCTTGGAAGGTCACAAAAATGTTTGTTTGTTTGAGGCAATGGATATCTTAACTTTTGCCAATACACAAACCATCTTACAATGCGCGAACAGCTACAGTGTACTCGGGGAAAATTGTTAGCGCACATTCTGCAAGCAAAGCCTATTGGCATCCAATTTTCTCGATTAATCAACTGGAACTTAGTTTATACCATAATGGTACTTTCAAACATAGTAATATAAGTTTTTTCTTTTCCGTTTTCTTTTTCTTTTTAGTTCCAATTCGCTCATGTCGTGAGTTTGCAGAACGCTGCAACAGCAAAACAGACGGCTTGTATACCATCTTCTTGCAGAAGCCAAACGCAGCAGAAACAGTCAAGGTATTCTGCGATATGACACATGATGGTGGTGGATGGACACTGTTGGTCACCAGTGCGAGCAACAAGGGCTGGACAAAAGACAATGTCAAAAGCAGGTAAGAATGATCTTATCTTTTATGGATGATAAGTTCGTGGACGAGCTTATTCAAGATTGTGCGAGAAAAAAACTGCAAAAAGAGTGGTACTAAATCTGCTGACAGGAAGGAAAGAAACCGAGAAATTGAAAAGGTTTTTGTAGAATGATGGTAAAAAGACGAAAAGTGTTAATGAAACAGTGTCAAGTTGTTTTTCTGTCGTGATATTGTTTGGACTAAATTAATTCGGGCTTTTTAGTTGTAGACGACAAAGTGTGGTTAGGACATTAATGACCAACTCGCTTGTAGCTCTTTGGCCGCTTGTTCCGTTCGATGTCATTAATTTTGTGAAAACTTTCCAACAGTATTCTTTACTTGTGACTGTTTTTTTTTTCGGAAAGAAACGATCTCACATGTTGGATTCTCTTTGATTTTTTATTTGAATCATACAACCCGGCGAAAAGTTTATAAGAATTCACAGTATAGGAATCCTTATCCGCTGAATTGTTCACAATCCAAATAAACGGAAGCTATTTCAATTTCGCTTTTGATCGTGTTCTGCCCTGAAGAATGTGATATGTTTTTTCTTTAGAAACATAGCTGAGCCTTCTCTTACCAAGGACTACTCATTGTTGGACGAGGGTGATACAATCAAGTCCATTGCTATCAGTCCATACTTCCTTTATCGACTGGAAGCACGAGAGAGGGGTAGCAACGGTGCCATCTATCAGGCACCGGAAAGTTACAGGTTTGTTTGTTTGCTTGCTTCCTTTTAATGCTTGGTGTGCCTGTGCTTTTTTCAGCGGAAACAGCCTAACTGTCCTTTAATATTTCAAAAGTTTTATTTTGAGAATGGTGGATAAGACGTTGCCACACTATTCTTGTATTGATATTTTTCTTGTTTCCCCCTTTGTTAGCTTCACCTCCTCAAATTGCGCGCTTAATGATGTAAGCGTTGTGCAGAAGTTTGGTTCGTGGTCCGAGGGCGACAAAGGTATTGGTAAGCGTATGCCATATCTGCCCTCTGATGGTGACTTACTGCTATCAACTTGTGACTGTAAAAGTGGCACCACATTTGGGACGGTGGTGTCTCAAGCCGCTGAATATCATCCAGCTCACTGGACAAGTGGTGATTCAGAGAACCCAGGCATTATCTGGTACTGGGTTAAAGAGTCTTCGACTATGTTGCAAGGTATGGTGTGCATACATGAAGAATTCGATTCAATAAGACGTTGTCGTAGCCTGTTCTTGGGCTTCGCCCCGTTTTTATTCGCTGTTTAGTTCTTGCAGCCAGAATCTAAGCATGCGCCTGTATAACAGCAGCAAAGTTCAGAATTCTACAAGGCTAGGAAAATTTTTAATTGTTGTGCCTGCCATAATTTAGTGGCACATTGAGAGGAGAATGCGAGACCGATGGCATCTTTGTGTTCAAATGACGAAGACGCTCTGCAGGTTTAGACTTGGACATCCCAGACAAAGCCTAAGTGATGAAATGATTCTATAGAGCAAACAGAAAACAGACCTTGATTGGTTTTGTTTTCAGTGATGTATTAGCAACCTTACATAGAAAGTAACCTAAAGTTTAGTGTTTCGCTTGGTGGATTATTTATTTTCTACACAACGAGTTTCAAATCTTTTGATATAATGAGCGGTATTTTTGGAGTATAGTGAAACAGAATCCCGACATACATGTAGCACATATTGTGCTTTTTCCCCAGTTCCCTTGGCACTCTGTCATATCAAGTTCCCACTGCAGTTACTTTCTGTTAATAGCATTCTTCAATGTTGTTTGATATTGTTCATTTAATTTTTTCTTCACTTCCTTTTTCTCTTTATAGCTCCAGCTGGTGGAAAACCCGACCCCATGTGTCCCTCTCCAGGTATGCAATAAAAAATATAAAAAACGTATAACAAGGAAGTCTGCCCCGACCGGCTTCATAACCATAGGACTTTAACAACTGTGCTGTGGACTAGACACTCTTCCGAATATTTTTAACATCAAATTTATTTTTCGGAATTGGTCATTTCGCCTTCTGAAATCCTAGTCTTTCCAAAAGAAAAATATCAAGGCTTCGATTGGTAAACGTTGACCTGTATACTCCCCAAAATGCACAGTGAATCAGACCGTAATTTCTTCTTCATTTTGCAGTTCCAGGAGGTTATAATGAATGGAGTCAGTGGTCTCCGTGTCCAGTGACTTGCGGAGGTGGTAATCAAGTAAGGACAAGAAACTGCACAAACCCTGAACCGCTCAATGGTGGTACAGACTGCTCTGCAATTGGGGGGAACCTGGAAAGTAAGGTCTGCAACCAACAAGCTTGCCCAGGAGTGAAAGGTAACAGTTGTAAAATTATACATTGCCTATTGATCTAAAATGAGTGATTTGATACTTTGATACAATTTGATACGTAATTTTGCCTTAAGCACTTTGGTTTGGAAACAAGTGATCGCGTGGTGTCTGTCTCACATTCGTTACCTGCAGGCTCCTAACGGTTTAACCTGTTCGAAATAAGTGTATACAATTGTTGTCACCCATGATGTCCTCCAGTAATTTACTACCAAGCACTGACACTAAATTCATAGCCAATAGCCCTTATTAGAGAAGTGTTCGTTTTTCAGGGATACAAAATATGTAAGACAGTTTATGTCTTAACCTACTTTCTTTAAAACGGACTAACAAAAGATGCCTGTCACCAACTTCTCACATCTTGTCCACATTTTTTTAAAGTCACTCTTTTGACAATTGCACATGGGTTTTTCTTTTGTATGGTTCAGCCTCTTTTCCAGGCTTGTGTTTACTCATCTAGACAAACGGTTTCTTTGATAGTTGATGGAAAATACACCGAGTGGAGTCAGTGGTCAGAATGCACAGCAACTTGTGGAGGAGGAACCCAAACACGTCATCGTTCCTGCACTAATCCCCCACCTCAGAACGGCGGGAAATCCTGTCTTGATCAAGGACTTGGTCCAGAGATTGAGACCCAAAGCTGTAATGTCCAACCTTGTCCAAGTAAGTTACACTGTTGTTGAAATTTTATAGAGCGTTTTATAGAGCGTGAGTGGCACGCAGCTTTGCGACAAAAGAAAGCGTTTACATACGAAAAGAGTTCAACTCCCACAGGATTGGTTTGGGACACCAAGATGGCCGCCGGGACGTCATGTGTGTGAAAAGAGTATATAAATATATCACATTTATGCCCTCCGTCACTGTAGTAGAGACATGTGACATAGTTTTTAACTCCTGAATCTGTGGATGGAATCCAACATTGATACCCTACAAATGAAACATCTTCAGCAATACTTTCACATGGAAATATTTTATAGTCACGTACAGAGTGGTTCCAATTCGTCAGTCCGTGGATGAAATGCTGATATCTTCAATGGTACTTTCACGTGGTGCTCGTAGTTTGCACGTTTTGAAGGAACTAACAATTTTAAAATCTTATTGTTGCTTCCACTGATGGTGTTTTCGGGGAGTTCTAGCTCTTGACAAAATAGAGATTCCGCAATAAGTAGTTACCCTTAGAGAGTAATAAACTCCCCGCCGGAAAATCCTGTATGCAAAAAAACGCATGGCGACGAACAATGCAACACAGGCGATCTCGCTTTCCGAGGACTAGATTAGGATTGTGTGGTGCTGTAGTTTTGTGTTTACTTAAGCTCATGTTATGTATTACTTTTCTAGGCGTTTGTGTACCAGCTTGTCAAAATGGTGGCACTTGTGTAAATTCCAAGTGTCAGTGTAGTCAAGGGCTTTATGAAGGAAACTACTGTCAAACGGGTAAGAAGGTTTAAGGACAATTTCCGAACTTTTACTATTATTTGTTTGACTTCTCATAGGTTTATCTAAACGCCGTTGTCACAACGAGCTTAATTGAAAACTTTTCAGTTTTAGGTACAACTTGCTATCCTAAACAATACTCCTAGTTCGGGCGATTTAAAATCCACACAAGTCCTTGCCTATAGAAAAGAGATCGAGTACACGATAAATTTAGCAATAGTTTCCTTCCACATAATAAAGTTAAGCTAATGTTTATAACATTAGGAGAGGTAACGATGTCTAATGTAGAAAGGACTACCACTACGAGGCACTTCAGAGAAAAGAAAGTTTACAATATCTCGAGTCCGTTAATGTCTTATGTTAGGTAGTGCGTTCTGGTGTGTAGATCTAAGATTATACAGACCATTAATTACCCCGGTTTTGAGACATAAGAATTACAGTAGATGTGTATAACCCACTGTTTTCTTATCTCATGCAGCCATTTGTAAGATCCCTTGTCAAAACGGTGGAACATGCGTTAAACCCAACCAGTGTCAATGCCCGCCCGGGTACAGGAATATATCTTGTGGCCAACGTGAGTATACACTTCTGCTATTGGCGCTGAGTGCAGTGATTTTGTTACAAATTGCTATGCTGAATCGTGGAACTCATTTCATGAAAAGTCATGAGTCCCGTCGAAAAACCGATGTTTTTATTGGGATATTTTCGTGGGAATCCCTCTGTTTATTCGTTGAGAAATTAATTCTGGATCTTTTTTTAACCGCAGATAATATTACTCTCTTGTCATAAAATACGTTTTAGTACAAATTGATAATCACAAACAGGACACTTCTTCAAAATCATCTTCAGGTCGCTCGATTGATCTTAGCATCCTAAAGGACGCGTGGCGGCGTTTATTATTTTGCGCCCTTGGAAATTCCATGCGTCAGGGTCTTGGAACAGGAAATAACAAAATCACAGCTGAGTTTAGTGTTTTATATAATAAATTACTGGCATATGATCGGTCACTTGCTTTGTTTATTTCTACAGCTGTTTGCCAGAAATTCTGTCAAAATGGTGGAAAATGCATTGGTCCAAACAAGTGCCAATGCCAACCGGGGTATTCCGGACAGTGGTGTGAAATTTGTAAGTACCAACAGGTTATATACCAGCGGCATAATATTTCTAAAGAGTGGAGCTCTTTATAGCCCTATTCACGCAAACAAGTCATTATCTGTGTGGAAGTTTCACTTAAAGAGAAGCATACTGTTTTAATTTGCATACCATAAGAGCGCCATTTTTAAACTCCTTTGATTTGGCCATTTTTTTACGATGGCGTCATTTTACTACGACGACCATAGAATCCTTTTCGTTTACTCTCCCGTATTTATATTTGATTATCCCAGCGAGGTTTAAATAACAAAAGCCCTGGTTTGCACAAGCAACCAAAATCCTGAAGGATTCTGGTGGCAGTAGTAAATGACGTCATCATGTCCTATTAACGTTTCGTTGCCTAGGTTCAGCGGCGCTTTATCTCAACACATCCTCTTTTTCGTGCAGCGCGATTTAAGGGCATCTTCTAAGCGTCATGAAATATCGCTGACTTATCTCCTTAAGATCGGAAAATATACTTCTGAAAACTGACACTTGATTGGCTTTGTTATTTTTCAGCTACATGCAAACCAGACTGTCTTAATGGTGGCACCTGTGTTAATAGTCAGTGTCGCTGCGCTCCCGGTTATTCAGGACCTTACTGTGGCATAGGTAAGACAGGAAAACTTCAATGATCAAAAAACGTCCTTGGGACAATAATGCAATGCGCCAGTCTCCTACGCAGCTCTTGTTTTACTTGTCACGCAGTACTTCTTCCCACGTGAGGTGAAACCTTGCGTGACGACACAATGAATGCTTCGTAGAAGACGGCAATTTCAGCGTTTAGCGTAAGTTTTAAGAAAGGAAATTCAGAAAGTATTTCACTAAATGTTTCCTTGAAAAACGCACGGCCAGTCGGAAGCGATGACTTCTTGAGTGCGCAAATGTCAAGTTAAAATTCTTCTTTTGCTTGTCACGCTGTCGCATTGCTTCTTCCCGCGTGACGCCACAAACAGCGCTGCAAGGGAGCTGAGCAATGCCCTCAATTATTTGATAATTTCAGCGTTCACTGTAACTTTACATAAAAGAATCAGAACATATTGCACTGAATGTTCCCTTGAAAATCTCACTAATAGTCAATAACTTCTTGATTGCGAAAATCTCGGGTAAGACTAAGAGGTACCTGATTTCTTTTTGTCATGTTTTGATGTCTTATGACAGTATCCCAATGCAACACTGGAAAGCCAGAAGGACCCTGTCAAATTGACGTTCAACAGGAAGTAAACAAAGCCTCCGTTAATGAGCAGAGCTCCCCATGTATTAGCTTCTTAAAGGAGGTCTTGGCTCACTGCAGCTACAGGAACTTGTCCCATTTCTATTCAAGAAAAAACTGCGAGCAAGTTTGTGGTAAGTTACTTGTATAGTCCTACCCGTATCATAAGGACCCATTTTATTCTTTAAACCTCATTATCCCCAAACAAATTCTCCACATTGATCTCCATACATTCCTTAAAGAAAAGGTTGAGAGAATTTGATAGATCAGAGCATTTTCCCTTTGGTGATCATTCATCAATAATCTTAACATTTTCTCTCGACTATATATCGATATTTTTAGGATACTGTAAGAGAGTCCACGTCAATGCATTAAATACATTAGTTTGGCGGATATAACTAGTTTCGATTAAATACCCAGGAAGGGTCTAGTCACTAGGAATTTATTCTTCGTTTTGTTTTCCTTTTTCAGAGCCAAATGTATGCCAAAATTTGTGGAATTCTGATCAGTGTATTAATGCAGAAGTGAGATACTACTTTGACGCCAATCTTAAACAATGCAGACCCTTCAAGTTTGGAGGTTGCCTTGGCAATGAAAACTTGTACGCTACAGGAATAGAATGTCAAACCAGGTGTACAGGTTGGTGTTGCTGAAATTTACCGTGCTGTGGAAACCCCTTACGCTGCCGTTATTTGCGTCGCCACGCAACGCTCCCCCTCCCCCCACCCCTTTAGCGCGTCAACCCAATAATACGAACCTTAAAAACGACGACTGCGACGATGAAAACTTTACTACAAAAATGTATTCGCGTTCTTTTCAAACTTAATCGCTTTTACTAATGAATTCAAATATTGGAACATTCATGTATTTTGAAAACCACTGACTGAAGGAGATATTGGGAAACTGCCCACCTACCCCTCCCCTAAGCCAACATTAATACTTACTTCTCACTTAGGGCAAAATGTTGGCTTAGGGGAGGGGTAGGTGGGCAGTTTCCCAGAAACGTGTAATGATCCAAAAATTTCATGTCACGACCCTTGGGCGAACCTAACTCAAGACCTCTTAGCTGCGGAAAGACCCATGACATGCTTGGCTCGGAGCATCTAAAGTCGAACTCCAGATGTCCTGAGCGTTAAGGCAATTAATAATGCTTTGAATAACTTATACAGTATCAATCTTTAAATGTGAGATTTTTTTGATTCGTCAGGATTAAGGCCGACAGCTGTCACTCCAACAGGTCCAGGACCGAAAGGTGAGTGCAATACGTGATAGGTGACACGGAATTTTAGTTCATTTTGCCCCCTCACATCTACGGCATCAGTCAACTATGCCATTGTGTTAGTATCGCCAGTCAGTAAATTATGTATCATTCACATATCTGTATTGTACATTCACCTGTTTTTGAAAAGTACTTTTTCAGCACCACCCCATCCCCAAAAAAGGCTGACTCCTTCTGCCAAACAATCAAAAAAGGGCCTTATTCGAACAAGGTCTCATTTCATAACGCTCACCAAAGTTGATAAACGATTTCAACAGGATCGTTTCCAAGGCCATGCCCTAAGAAAACTCCTAGTTAGCTTAATGCTCTGACCTGTGAAATCCAGTGTGCGATTTCCAAGCAGACCAAGAACAAACGTAAGGCACCACGCGGCACCGGGTGCTGACAGAGCATAGCCCAGCCCTTGTATCTCACC